TTTTCTGGATGTTTACTGGCAGACATCAAATTGTTGTATTTTTAAGGTTTTTAGAGATTGACCAATAATATTGCTCTTCATGATTTATCAATTTAATAAAAGAAATTGGCACAACCTTTTAAAAAGCAAATGAATTTTCTTAATGATATAGATGGGACGTTCATAAATATCGACCTTTTCTAAAACACTGTGACAGAATAGCCACTGAGATTGATCAAACCAATCAGCTTAAAATACTGATTTTTCTGCGAAAGATTCCTACAATTTGGATGCAGGCTAAGATTCTGGCTAATGGAAGATAATGCTTTCTACAAAGATTTATTTGTTTTGGAATGATTTTCTAGATCTTTTTTGTGTTTTCGCCTCTCATTAGCAAGTCAGATGCTTGGAAACAAATTATTCTGTGATCTCCTAATTAGGCGTTGTGTTATCCTTGATGCCATGTGGAGATGACATCCTACATTTATCAATCTCTAGAATGTAAGAAGGACGTATTGTCTGTAAATGGTTGGTACACAATGATTTATAGCTTTCTAGCCACATTTGAGAGTCTTTAGAGTCACAGTTTAACCAGGTACCACATTAAGGACTTTAAATCCTCATTTTTAAATATTTCCAGGATACAAACATAATATTATGACAAAGTTAAAATTTTGGCAGGTGGCAAGCAGTGTAAAAAATAACACCTGAGTTTACCTTCAAAGATCAAAGCTTCCGTATAGGTACCTGTGCAATATGCCATAAGATACAAGTAGTAGTATGTTTGACCACCTTTACAGTACATCAAAAATCAGTTTGATTGTGTTTAATTGAACTATTATTTTGGTCAAATGTCAATATCTCAAGATGACAAATGTTGATAATGTTAATGCATTAGTGATGTCCCACTTCAACATTTACCCAAGTGTACAGGTATTTTTCTTTGATGGTTTTTACATTACTGTTAAGTGGCAAAATCAACATGACTCTACATCAAGTTTTGCAATCATCAAAAGTCTCCCAACAAAATCGACCCGACTGTTATTTTTACTAGTTGCCCTTTTCATAGTTATGAACATGGAGTTTATTGAAAGAGGTTGGTTGATTGTTCCTGTAGGCTTTCTATCTTTAGATTGTGCCCCACACAATATCATTAGTCCAACATGACAGTAGCGTTATAATATATTACATGCATATATACCTCAGGGATAAAATCAATATACGACATTCAGAATTCCATGTTTTGGAATTGCATTATCAAAATCCTCACATCTATAATTCACTTGTTACATCTAGCTGCGGGGAAGAGTATAAGGCAGGTATACAGATGGTTGCGATAAATGAAAAATCATTAGAGCTGCATAATAGCGTTACATGTGTTATGCTTGAAGAATAGACTTAGTAATGACTTTACCAATTTCATCAGTATAATCCATTATGGGAAAGGAAATGTGTTTATCTTACTTATCAAGATGAAGATCCTGGCTGAACATGATTTGCTCAGAGACAGTGCCCAAATGTCACCAGTTGGGGAATTAATTTTCTTCAATCCAGAGGGGGTAAATGACAAAATTGCCAGAGAAAACTTATTTATAATGGGTTAGGTGTTTAACCGTCAAGCATTATGTTTTATTTTCTACAAGCATCAACATTTGGACATCATCCTTATATTAAACCCTTCATTACAAGTCTTCATGTTCAAGCTCACTTTCTCTGCGAAAACATCATATAGAGCAGTTTTAATTAACAAACACAAACAAGAACTTATTTTTGCCGATGGTCATGAAGGGCATTTAATTATGCTATTGATTTCTTTGTGATGAAGTGCCTAAGTTGGGTATGTATTCAGGTAATATCAGGTAAGGTCTACAGCAACAGCAAGTGAGGTCTCTAGCGATATTGGGTAATATCTTCAAGAACATGAAGCTTAGCTTTCATAAGGTTGTAGATAATTCAAGCGTTAGTTCATTTGAGGTTTTTGTTGCTTTATTGAGGAATGGGGAACCATGTTTAGCTTTCTGGTAAATCTAAAAAGAAATTTGTTACATGATCAGGTGATGAATAATTTGTTGTATTTTTTGATAATAGAGTTTATCAATTGTTAATCTTGATTCAGGAAATTATGCATTAGACTTTCCATATTTAAATAGCTGCACAGAATTCCAGTCTCTGAAGTCCTGAATAGCCAAAACTTTAGCAAAACTTTATAACTTTTACAATCTATTGATTTCAATGCAGTAAAATCATATCTGAGTTCATAATATTCTTGATATTGGCGTAGAATAAGGTGACATTATGTTAGAATGATAAAGTGCCAAGTGTACAAGACACTTGAGTTGCTCATTTACTTACCTCAACTAATATAAAGCTACACGTTTGTTACCTTTCCTGAAGAATTCTTCAGGATCCAACCAAATTTATCATGCAAAATATATAAAAGACTTTCAATCCAACAATGACACCTAAGTTTCAATACATCTCAAGAGCTAATAGAACTTATTGAAAAATCATATGTAAAGGAGAGTGTGAAAGTGAAATAAAAGAAATACATATTCTGACCACAATAGGAAGGTCTACCTTATCTTGGCGAAGGGTATTATTGCCACTTCTAACCACTTGTACATGTCATCTGAAATTCCCGTGAAATTATAAATGTCGCCAATGCATGATATCTGAACAAAATATCTGATTTAAGAAACTCAATTGATAGTTTATCAAAATATCAAACATTTTTCAGTTATAGAGCTGATGTTCAGATTGTAATTTGTAATAATAAGCGCCATCTTTTAGGTAATAGATATAAAGTCAGGGTTTTCCAATATCAATTTTGGGTCTGAGATTAATTCAGGTTCTTAAATTTATGTGACATATGGTTATGGGAACTCAAGCACCATATTTGCTGTTTTTATTTTGTTTGCACTACATTCTTATTTTTTATTTTGTGTTATTCAATTAGCTGAAATGTTTGCAAGGGCATGGCTTGATACTTGAAGTTATTAGCCATATCTTATCACTTTATTTGTGTTTTATGACGGAGTGGTCTGTATATTGTCACTTGAACCTTTTTTTCAAGCCAGAAGTCACACCTCTACACCTGATAAGTCAGATCACAACAAACAGTTACCAAGTTGCCATTTGTTCTATGATTTTAACATGGAGTTCAATGGACCCGTGTTCTTAAAGGGATCTATAACAGTTTCTATTTTCACTCCCATTTCAAGACTTGAATTTTCAGTGATAGTTCACACATATCTTTACTCATGCTAAAGGGAAATATTGTTTTTCATCGCAGGGTGGTAATAATTGATTGAAATTGGAAAACCTGGATCATACATAGCTCATATTCATTAACTTGATTTTAATACTAACCTCAAATGGCGTATACTGGATCATAACAGTAACAAGTTCTTGGAATTTGGAATGAAGAAGGGAATTTTATATTTTGACCATCGCTTTATTCATTCAAATAATGTTTTTGATATCTGATTATTACCTTGGTCTGAATGCGAGTTTCTTTTTCTCTAATTTAAGTAAGGCTCATACAGGACTAATGAATGTCTTTATTCTGGATGTATTACCCTAATATAACTTCACCGGACCTTCATTAGGAGAAATTCCCAGATGATGTTATAGAAAAAGTAACCCATGGAAAAAATTCCCATATGATATTACAGAAAAAGTAACCCACTCAATTCTACATTTCTTAGAATTACTGATAAAGAAATGTTCATTCACGTGTTAATCCGATCATCTTAAAACCATTAAGCCAGCATTACACATTATACATTAAGAATTGTTTTTCGTAGAAGGTGTAAAATATAACATTAAAGGGAAAGACCTAATTTGTAATTACAACCAAGGAGTGCAGTTGGATCCAAAGGTGGACGTAAAGTAGAAATCGTTAAGAATGTATGATCATAGAGTCCCTTAGAGTTAATCATCTGCATACACATATTTAAGGCTTTTAAGTAAGGCTTTATGTTATATAATATTATATTTATTTTTGAGGTATTGAAGTCCACTTTTAAGAATAATTTGCATAATTGTTGATGCATTTTCTTGGTATCTCATAGAGAAACTTGTGAAAAGTGGGAATGTGAAAAGCAGGAATGTATTACAAGGGTACATGGTAGATTAGACCCAAAGAGAGTGTCATAAGTCTGGGTTGAATTGGTATTAGCATAGAGCGCAAGCTTAGAACTTCACTGTCTTATAACAAACTTAGCACACTTTGCATAATAAAGTATGAACTAATTCGATAAAAACCATTGTTGAGCCCTTGCCGGCAGTTTTGACTGATATTTATATTTTCAACTGTTATATGTCAATTCTGTCATCTTCAAGTCATTTTTTCTGTAAAACATAAGTTTTTTTTAATTATTACCATGGTATATGGTACATGCTCATAATGATCATCTTACTTTTAACATTTTCTGGGTGTTTTTCTTTGTTGGTTATTTGCAAGGGGGCTCAGACTGGTCACATGTGTAGGTCTTCCACACCACTGATCTGATCTTTGTTGGCAAATCCTAAAGGGATAAGTATATTTTTATCTGGGCTTACAAACCATTGTAGCATTCTGGATGAACATTATTCAAGTTGTTGGCATTATTGCATTAAATTCTATTGACCATGTTACATTAATATAGGATTAAACCCCTTGAGGTGTGTAATAGAAATAACAACATGACACATTTAGGTTACTTGAAACACACTTCAAATCTTTATCTCTGACATAAGAACAGACAATATGCATCACCAGTGACATCTATCGGCAATATAATACATATCATCAGAGACACCTATTGTCAATTGAACACACATCAAAAGTGACACCTATCATGAATAGGTAGCTTTACCATATTACATGAAATACTTTTCATCATTTTAAAATGATCAATCTTTTTTTTTTGTAGTTTGTAATACTAGCTTAATGAGTAAAAATCCCATCATTAAACTGTATATAATATCTCAAATTTTTGAATAGTATAATTATTATATTCGCTTATCTGTCTTTCCAGGAACCAGATGCCTAGCACTATAGAAGGCCAGATAACAATGGAGAAGACGCCAAGTTATTTCGTCACAAAAGAGGTGCCGCGAAGAATCTACAACATGTCAAAGGACGTGCGGCTAGTTGTCGTACTAAGGGATCCAGTTACCCGTGCAATATCAGACTATACGCAAACTAAGACCAAACGACCTGAGATCAAATCATTTGAGGGTATGGCATTTATGAACAATTCAACTGGCGTTGTCGATACGTCATGGGGTGCTATAAAAATTGGCGTTTATGCCAAACATTTAGAGAGGTGGTTAAAATACTTCCCACTAAAACAGATCCATTTTGTGAATGGTGAGAAACTCATATCAGACCCAGCCGGGGAAATGGCGAAAGTTCAAGACTTTCTAGGCATTAAAAGAGTCATCAATGACAAACATTTTTACTTCAACTCAACTAAAGGTTTTCCATGTTTAAAAAAGCCAGAGGGCAGTGGTAGCCCACACTGTCTGGGTAAAACTAAAGGACGCTCACATCCAACTATAGACAAAAAAATCCTGCAGCGACTACAGGACTTTTACCGACCATTTAATGCTAAATTTTATCAGATGGTAGGTCAGGATTTCGGCTGGCCATAGCAGTCTTTTATTTGTAGAGAAACAGCGAAACTACGCATGCAGTAGCGCCATGGTAACGAGAGAATATAAGGCGTCATGGTAACTGCTGAATCCACCAATCACAGCACTGGGTTGAAGGTTTCTACAGGCATGGCTGCAGGCTGCAGGCTGCTGACTGTAAAGTATATTGATGGTGCTCAAAGTCATGGTCAAATTGACACCTTTACTCATATTATGTCAAATATCATTGATAGATGTCAGCTCATGTACTGTATATCTGACCTTGACCTTCATGCATGGTAACACAAAGAGAAACCTGTCAATGGTAGATGACAAAAGATCATTTATAGATGGCATACTGGCTGAGTCAAGCTTCATGTACTGATGAATATGTGAATGAATATTCCATCTGTATTATTGCATATGACCAATATACCTCTAGGCATTCAAATGTGACCAGGTGATAGACATCCACCTATATCAGAATGCCACCCCAGCCCATGTAAAACGTAAGTTGTTGTACAACATGTACAAATCATCCAAGTGAAAGGTCTGTATTCCAATATGGTTATGATGAAGTATGTCCTCAATATTGTTAAAAGATTCTAGCATACTATAGTATAACCATGGAGAAATACAACTTTCACACCTTAGCACACTGATGGTTCAGGAAAACAGTTTTCTGAAACCACAATGTGAGAACTATTACTCAATTTTCTGAGTAAATCTGTATTTAATTAATATAAGTGTAATGAAACATCCATTGCGGTTACCTTGTGTATGATATAAATTATACAAATGTATAGGTTAGAAAACTGGTATTAGAAGCATAGAGAGGCTATTGATGACCACAGTGTCAATGCAAATGCTAATGATTAATAGGGCATCCATTTGTATCCTTGTCACATTTCTAAATGAGCATGTGGCATTTTAAGGGTCCACTAAAGTGTGTACTTGTGTTTTCTAATTAGTATCCATGATGTGGTTTGAGCAGTTATCCTCACACAGAACAATTAAAGCAGATTGGAACACTTTATTGGTCTATAATGGGTCATTTCAAGCCATTATGCAAATTCTTCTGACCTACTCACATCTGCTGCAATCCTTGTTCTTTGCCTTGTGGAATAGGGTAAAGTAGATTTCTTTAATGCTCATTGGGAATGAGGTAAATGTACTCTGAAGAACTTGGTATGATAAATGATGTGGTCACTCTTAGAAAATTGTTTGCATGGCCCAATGTGCTATTTTCCTTAAACTCATTCCAGGTTCATTTCCTTTGAACATTGCACTATTGAGATGGCAGTTTGAATCTGAATATTCTCATCTTGCAGTGATTCCCTCAGTTTAGTACAAGGTGTAGTAGTCAGGAACATGGAGATACTACTAATTATGACACAAGATAAAACATAGCTGTGAAATCACATCAAATTGGAAGGGCTTTGAACTGGTAATTTAAAGCAAATATTCAATTACAAATTTCAATTTCCCTTCGCTTGTAATTACATTAATGTCCAAATTTACTCAGTAAATTTATCCGTCTTATTGTTTTAATCAACAACTGAAGTGGTGATATCTTGTTATATATTCAATCTAAGACAATGTCTATACTAAGACCGCCCTTTCGCGGACTTATCTCTAGCTTATGCTTTACGACATAAGCTATTGGATGGACCTCTCTATCTTTTATGTGTTCATGCGGCCATTTTGAAATTCGTTCATGTCTGGTAATGTATTTGTTGCATTTCATTAGGAAACCCATGAAAAGCAAGTGGTTTATGTAAGAGTACTAAGAAATAGTTAATTTACACAACACCTTGGGATTAACATGGCTTCCATAGAAATGTATCTAATGAGCATAAACGAGTAAATCACCCATTGGATAAACAGATTAACAGCACAACACCTCTGTTCATTTAGAAAGAAAAATATTTGACAACAATTTCAATTATTTTTCTCCTTCATGAATCCTTTTGTGTGCTAATCTCACACTGTATTTTGTTTTCATATTATAAGAGCAATTTCAACACATTTTTGTCTGTGTGCACCTTGCTAGACAACTACCTATTAAGATATGGCTTGGCCCCATACCTGTTATCCAAGATTAAGCCAGTTAATAAAGCATTGCTATATGGGATAAAACTGGGTTTTAATCAAAAAGGCCTCAGTGACCTCCAACAACTCTCTTTGATTCTTTCACATACAGTTTTTGTTAAAGCATCATAAGGCTATTATCATTTTATGGTTTGGTTTTCATCAGTGGGTTATTTATGACCCAAATAGTTATGATTTTCATTTGAAACTATTATATGTCTCTGGTAAGGTCATGTTGTCAGATTTAGTCATAATACTGTTGGGAATATAGTTGTTAAGGTGCTGTCGAGGGTGGCAGTTGATTAGTGAATCAGTTTCTAAATCTAATCATCTACTGATTGTATGCCTTGTATTGCCTTACTCACCCATCTCTGTCTCTAATCTTACCTGATTTATCCATTTAGCATGCCTATTCTATTGGTCACAGGTTTTCCATGCAAATTGCAAGCTCTCAGGCAAAAATTGTTCATTACATGTACATCCCAGTATGAATTTCCTAATTTTATTAAAAAATTCATAATATGATTATTTATGTGCAATTTTGGTATAGGTGATCTGAGAGAGGTAATATTATATGAGACTTCAAGAATTGATCCTCAAAGTATCTGTGTGGTGATAACATGTACTGATGTATGTATATTATTGAAATCAATTATACCAAATCATGATAACCTATTTGATCTTCACATTCTCTGGTTATCTTTGGAGGATATGGTCCATGGGTTCTATGTACCTGGCTGGGTATTCTAATTTCACATGATCCAAGATGAAAAGATCCAAAGTGAGACAACATGGAAAGTGATCCCAAATGGTGTAAAAGTCAGTCATAGATGAATGACTATCTACTAATTCAAAGGCATTTTTTCATTAGTGGTTGGCTCCTATGACAGAGAAGTTGGATGTGCAGTTTGGATCAAGTATCTCAACCCCTGTTCCTGCTTATCACGTACAGTCACAAGTTGAAGACTTCTTACAAGTTTATAATTTCCTCTGACTTCACAATTTCTGCTTGATTAATTATTCACGTCTGCTTGGCTGTCCATTTTCACACTTAACCGTTTGGCATTCATATCATTCTTCAATAGCTTTGTAGCCAAAAATAATTGGAAGAAAGTATCGCTAAATTGCATTTTCGCACCCCATTGGTTTGTTTCGGAAGCCCCTTGAGGTCTCAAAAAGCATTTGTCCATCTTTCTAACATGGTTTTTAAAATTGCTTTCAACACATACATGGATTGATGTGGCAGCAGGATATTGCATCAAAAACCTGGCTGGTGTTAATAACTCATAGGGGACAGTAGTCATTCCTATTATGTCTACATGGTTATACATTGGACAGCTTTTGTGGTCCAAAAAGTGCAAGGGATGGTTTTATGTGAAATACATACCAAACAGTATAATAATCCATGCTATGAGTATCAATGTTACGTCTAGGGATGATATAATCTGGTAAGAGCTTGAAAAATCATTATTTACAGTAGGTATTGAGTTTTGGTATTTATTGGGGCCATAGATCAAGTAATTAGGTATTCCTATCACCAGCCTCAACTGCCAGCTGTACCCTTAGTGGATACAGTTATTTTGGTTTGCAATGTTCTATGTATTAAACAACTGTTACTGCACAACCCCAACAAGAATTACAACTAGTAATAGGCCAACACCAAAATACTCTTGATAAAAAATTACATTTTCTGACCTGTCATATGTAAGATGTAGCATAAAATGGAAATTGTTTTCTTCTTCTCCACGTCACTCTGTGCGATCCGAATCAATGCTTTTACTATCTATAGGCTGTATTTCTGTCAAATACGCCATCGGGCGTGAAAATTCAATAATTTCTTGGTAAGGGAATAGAAGACTGACTTGAGTTTTTCTGACGGTTTGTCAATACAAAAAAATCTGCTTATTTTTTCACCTTCATGTGTGTTTTGATGTTGGCATAACCTAAACATCTTGGTATGTTCACATGTTTTTATCCTCCATTATTTTCATATCATCAAACAGAGAAAGATTCCCTATTTTGCAACATTTAATGGTGAATGGATTCTCCAAGTCAGATTGAAAAAAAGTGATGATCTTAAAGTGCAACCTTGAATTTAACATTGCTTTCTCTTGAAAGGAAAAAGAGAAGCCATCGTTTAGTAAGTGAATACAGCATCTTACAAGTTCAAAGCATCTTCAATTTGGATCCATTCACAGAATTGTCTTCAATTACTCCTTCATATTTTGGAGTTTGGTGATGCCTGATTTGTATTGGGTTAAATCAAGTGAAAGAGGGGTATAACAATATTACAGACTGGTTGTTAATTTCGTTAAGTTGCCTGTCCTGTTAAAAGAGCATCCGTTCATTACGAAGAGCTCTTATATCCCTTCTTTTCTGGAGAGCTCTTAATGATAAAAGGTTGTAAAAAACAAGTCCATCATCCATTGAGTGTTTATACTAGCATACCATTAACAAAAGGAATACTTGGCTCAATGTTTATAGGGGCTATTACATGGATGTATTTTTGACTTTGATTTCCTTGGCGCATGTCCCAAGCTCAAGGAGAAACGCATGTGATCCTTGTTATTCTTGTTCCATAACAAAGTTCTTGAGCTATGTCTAATATATAGTTACAAAGTGGAAAACTGTGAATGCAGGTTAACAATCGCAGCCACATACATTTGCATTGATCAATCATAAAATGCAGATAGCAAAAGAAATAGAAATGCCTTGTATTAATCTTGAGATCATAGTATTAAGGTGCAAGGGAACTGATTATAGGTGTTTCTAAGCACCACTTGAGTTGATCCAGTTTCATGGTTGATAATCTCACAATGCATCATGTCATTTGCCATAACAGTTGTTGGGAAACATTCAAGATCAGACAGATGGAAAACACAATGACTTTGGCCAAAAATTATAACTCTGAAAGAAAGTGATACTGATAGGATTGGAATATTATTTTGACAATACAAAAGTGAGCCCAAAAGATACACACAATTTCATTTGCCCTGAAAATTTTGATACCAAATGAGTGAAGTCTACTTTCCGGTATCTTGTTCTTTTACATATAGCATTGTTGATGTTTTGTTGTTTAATCAGCCCTCACACCATGTGTCCGAACTCAACATGTACTCATTTGTAATCACAATGTAGGATGAGATTGAACAAGAAAACATGATAACTTATCTGAGGTTGTATAAGAGCTCTATACCACCCCTCGTCATAATTAGCCCCGTCTATTTGTAGGTGTGTTATCACAGCATAATGCACTCTCATGTAGGTGTGTTATCACAGCATAATGCATTAACAGTGAACTTCTCATCACTTGATTAACATGGAATCCTCACCTGTTTTTATGTCCTTGAATGATATTGTAAAAAATTGGAAAAGTTATTGGTTTTCTCCGTCACATCACTGAACAGCTAATGTAATGTGGCATTGGTGTAATTGCTTTGGGATAATATTTTGTTGTGTATGTTTTGGTATGTCCACTGTTAATAGACATTTTGATTGGTATTTTTGGTGTTCAGAGGGGTTGCTTTATATTGTATGGTATTTCAATATGTATTTACTTTTTGAGTTTTACATCATGTTCACCCTGCATTTTAAGAATCCCACTGTTGGTTGTTTAGTAGTGACAGTGTGAAGTCATTATCACCACAGCCCTGTTTACCTGTATACTAGGTGGCCAATGTTAAATCAGTTAAGTCATCAACTTATGTTTTTCTTAGCAAAATCTACATGCTATTTCAGCTGCTAATCAACAGGAACAAAACAATTAAAATTCAGTTTCCCGGCCAGAATACATCATCTTAAGGTCTTGAACATGGATTTGGAAAAGTTTTAGGATTTTTATAGACACCTATTAGATACAGTTTTTGAATGAAGTTAATAAAAAGGTAATGACCGTCAAATACTTGGACCATGTATATCCCATCTGTAGCAGTTTGGAATTTTCACAGATGTTTTTGACCAATTGTTACAACGTATTAAATCAAATTATATATTTAGAATCATTATGATAAGGCATAGATTTATGATCATCTAATTTGCTAATCTTTATTTATAGTCATGATTATTGTTTTTTCATATCAACAATATGGCACATATGTTAGGTCTATTTTTGGAACTATGATGTGGAATGGGATTGTCCTACTCTATTTTCCTAATGGTATGTAATTTGCCTTGAGGTTCTCCATTGGTTGTGTATGTTCTTTGGCTCTTATTCTGAGACATATATGTTTATGAAATTCCTGAAGTTGTTTGTCCACGAATGTAACCTTTTCACCTTGGGGATTCTGATCTTCTTAATCGATTCTATGGAGAAGAAACGTTAAGTAATATATTTGTGCAACTAAGATGTTAAGGCAGTGTAAGCATCTCCCTTTATTAACCGAGTCAACATTATGTAATTGGAGTAAATTTTAGACGTGTTTGGAAGCTTTAAGCACGTCTTACTCAATATACTCCGTCTTTAACCCACCTTTGGTCAATTTTCCAATCTATATTGACTCATAGGTGATCTTGAAGTCATACACAGGATTTGAACAGTTCAACATACATTTATGGAATCATCACTTTAACAAACAGGATTTAGGTGTGATGTTGTCCGAGGGTCGCATGTTTGTTGGTTCAGTTATTAACTGGCACCAACGTGAAGTGTTTGACGTAGCCTCAAGACTCTTGACCAATGCCAGTCCATCATCGATCACTTCAAATCCACATCATTTTAATTTGAAAATCCTGGAGTGGAAATCTTCCCACCTCAGGTGTTCTATGAATCTAAATAAACTTTTTGGCTGGTTTTGACTCCAAACAGACACTGTGAGATAATCTTAACAGGTATTTCATTCTTAGATGTGAGCCTAGCACCAGTATTGTGCTATGATAACCAATAGCCTGCTGTGAAGTAGTGTAACTGAGCGGCTAATAATGGGAACGTGTATATTATCATTGGCCTAGGGGTTCCTTTAGAAACACAGTTTCAACTCCCATCATAAGTAGAATCATCAAGCTCTATACTTATTCTTCATGTAATCTATTCTACCAATAGTCCTTTCAACGTCAAAATACAAGATATGGATAACAGTTTCTCTAGATTGCGATCTCAAATTGCAGCGTTGCTCCTTCTTAAATGTGTTTTAGACAATTTAACAACGGAAACTGATGTTGATTTAACGAGATTCTCATTCCTAGCCCAGTGTTAGACCATATTGTGTGTTCTTGTTCATGTCATACTTGGCTGCTAAAATACAAGTACACATCTACTTAAATGAGGGAGATTCCAAGGGAATGTACTGAAGCTTCTTCTCTGGGAGACAATTGGGTATTTGTTGATGTTGCTATTTCATGGTGGCAGCGTGTGGGATCACCAAACAAACAAACTGTATAGAGGGGTATACCTATCATTAGCATTTGCATTGTCACTATAGTATGATGTTTCATCAAGGGCAATGAATTTAGTGCATTTAGGCTTTATTTGAGTCCCTAGTATCAGCAAAATCATTTGCTCAAATGTGCTAGAATTCAATTTGGGTGCCAT